CCCCCAACAATCCCTATACCCTCTATATCCCTGGAGCCCCATCCAGACCCCCGAGGAAGGCCGAGGTCTCCAGTCCAGGACTGTCACCTGAAGCAAGTCCCCCCCCAACAATTGATGGACACATGTCTTTATTCAACCTCAAATACTATGTAACAATTCCCATACCAAAGTCTGACAGATGACGGTATCATGATGTTCCCTGAATATTATGTGTGGCCCTTTGGTGATGTCAGGGGCCGCTCCTGAGGCCCCTATATAAGCTGACCCCACTGATCTAGATCCATAGTCCCTAATAAATGACACGGAGATCGACGGGCGCAGAGTGCGACGTGCGGCAGTTCATTGTAACCAACGAAGTGTGAATGTTTAATGCCGAATATATATATACATTGTAAGACACAACGCACCGTCACTCTACATGCGTAACCTCGCGACCCGCGTCCGCCGGCATTAAGCCGCACTGCCGCGGAACGCACAGAATTAGGGTACCGCGTAGCACTGTACAAGTGTGAACGGACCCTCAAAAACAGACACACACCACTACAGACACACACACACCACTACAGACACACACACACACCACTACAGACACACACACACAACTACAGACACACACACACACCACCACAGACACCCACACACACCCCTACAGACACACACACACACCCCTACAGACACACACACACACCACTACAGACACACACACACACCACTACAGACACACACACACACCACTACAGACACAGACACACACACAACCACAGACACACACACAACCACAGACACACACAACCACAGACACACACAACCACACACAACCACACAGACACACACACAGACACACAACCACACAGACACACACACAGACACACACACAGACACACACACAGACACACACACAGACACACACACAGACACACACACAGACACACACACAGACACACACAACTACAGACTCACACAGACACAACCACAGTCTGTTGAAGTGTGACGGAGCTCCATGGATATGTGCAGTGCTGGTGCAGCTCCTTGTGGATTTGCCGAGAGCCGGAATGTGGCGTCACTCCGGTCCCGGCAACTCTTTAGGACATGCGAGGGAGCTGCAAGCAACGCATGTATGGATGGAGCTCCAACGCGCCCGTAGCCACCCCCCCACCTGACACTCGGCGCCGGTCGGCATAGTTTGAATGGCTGCTCAGCGTGAGAACTGACAGCGCTGCGCCAGGGGGGAGGCTGAGGAGCCGCTCACCTGGAAAAGTGGAAGGCACGCGACCCACCAGTTGAGAACAAAGGCCCTATACCACACCGCCACGCAGGCGTCAATGTTCAGTGCACTATGTCCGAATCAGACAGGGGGCCCTGCCTGCAGAGAGACCACTGCTTCCACAGAGAGCAAGGGTCCGGCGTGGTGCCGGGTGACAGGCTCCAGTACTCAGGCTGTGGCTGCTTTCTAACCAGATCCATCGGAAGGACTTCGCTCGCCTTTTGTTTTGTATTTTAGTGAATTGAAATTACAATTGCTCTCTAATCTTCGCTGTCATGTTTAACCCTTTCGCTGCCACGGACGTGTGTCATACAGCGGCGGCGGGGGGCCCCGGTACACAGACTCCCGGCTATCTGTGTACAGAGGACCGTTGGCTTGATACTGGAAGGGATTGGGCCGGCTGCACCCAGGGGCCGGGAAACATGTGCGGGAACGTGATAAGACCGAGAAGATTAAACAAGCCACAAACTGGAGCCGACTGTTGCTTTAAATCCAGCGCAGCGATCCGTCGGCGCCTCGTGCACCGTGCGATGGAAGCTGAACCCGGGACATACAACGAACTCCTCGGCAGTCATTGCCGGTATCAGCGGCTCGGAGCCCCCACATGGCCCAGCCACGGCACCGATATGTCCATCCCTCGGCTTCATCCTCACAGCGCCGATTGTTCAGCTGTCGGGCGTAACACACTCAACAGATGCGGCACAAAGACTGAACTGTCCGGCCGGAGGGACACGGGGGCCCCTCTACGCACACACATGTACATGCCCCATCGGGGGAGGGGCCCTTCACTGCAGAGGCCCGTCTATTATTAGAGCAGCTGAAATGTACATTTCACAAGTTGTCACACATGGAGATTCTGTTGCTGGAGCTCCTGAGGGATAATTGCCTCAAAAACAATTTTCTATGACGGTGACAACACTCCCAACAACGACTTTCTGGGTTGTCAGCATGTCACAGGAAGCCCTCGGCCGCATCTTCCAGCGTTGTCATCACAATAGACACGCAGATCCATATGGGGTCCCCCCCTCCCTTAGGCAAAGCAGTATAGAACACGATTGGGGGGGAGGAGGGGGGTCCCCAAATTATAACTGCTCTCGGATATTCTGGAAGACGTTTTTGTTGAAATGAGAAAAAAAAAATACCCCCCTGTCACCTCAGGCTCTCAATCTCTCCCCGGTCTCTATTTCTTACTCTCTCCCCCTCCCGGGTGCGGGGACCTCCCATCCCCCGGTCCGTCTCCCTGATCTCTCCCCACCTACCGGGCTCTTCCTCCCTCTCTTACCCCGGGCCCGCGGCTCTCTCTGTGTCTCTCACGCTCTCTCAGGTTCTCCGTCGCTCACTTTAGACGTCATTACCCTGCGCGGCTTCCCTTTCCCTCCACACACAGAGGCCCGCCCCCCGAACATTGAGCGCCGAGCGGCATGCTGGGAGATGTAGTATATGAGGTCCGCGCAGCGGCCATCTTGTGTGGAAAGGAGAATGGCTCTTTGTGATTGGCTAGTGAGTTCTGGGCGAAGGCCGAGCGGGGGGGGGGGGGGGTTGTCTGGCCGATAGAGCGAATCTGATGATGATTGGTGCATGATATGATAAGAAGGGAGGGGCTGCCGGTAGAGCCAATCAGAATACGTGTACCTTTTTCTCTCTTGTAACTGACAGAACCGAGGACTAACTCCACTGACTGACTCCCGACCCTCCCAACACTCCCCCCACTGACAGAAAGTTCCCGCCCCTCCCATCACGCCTCAATTGACTGACAGCTCTGTCCCGCCCCCTGGCTCAGTGACCACGCCCTCTTCCCCAGTCTCTAGGATTTCCCGCTTTTGTAAAATAGTTTTCACTTTAAATGTATTTTCTTCAGGAAAATCCGGAATCTTCCGACTGACGACGGTTCCCGAAGTTCCTTCCCCCTGGAATATCGGAGACATGATACCCTCATCATTGCTCCATTAGTGGAACCCCACCGCTCATAAACGTCACCTCCCCCACCATGGCGGTCCATAGGAAGGAAGACCGGTGGAGTATTCTTTTACCCTCCCCCTCCATGGCGGTCCATAGGAAGGAAGACTGGTGGAGTAGTCTTTTACCCTCCCCCTCCATGGCGGTCCATAGGAAGGAAGACCGGTGGAGTATTCTTTTACCCTCCCCCTCCATGGCGGTCCATAGGAAGGAAGACTGGTGGAGTAGTCTTTTACCCTCCCCCTCCATGGCGGTCCATAGGAAGGAAGAC